TCCACCTCCGTGCTCCCGCTCCTGTCCTCCCACATCCCGTCCACCTCCGTGCTCCCGCTCCTGTCCTCCCACATCCCATTCACCTCCGTGCTCCCTCTCCGTGCTCCCACATGACCCCTCTGTGCTCCTCGCCCTCCTGTGTGACCTCAGCATCGATCCCCACATGGCCTCACACCTCTGTCCCCATGCGCTCTTACACCCTGGAGAGACAGTGGGAGGACCAGGAGTGGGGTGTGTAGGTGTTTGGCCCTGGGACCCATAGTGGCCATTCCACTTTGTGGGGACTGTGGGAGTGTCCCTGACAGACAGACCCTGAGACCCTGAGGGGGCTCCAGAGCCCCATGGAAGGTGAGCTCCTCAGGGAACCCAGTCCCTCGGGGCAGCTGTCCAGGGTGTTTGGTCTCCCAGGTGCAAGGTTCATGCTGACAGTGTGCTGTGCCCTGTGAGGCATTGCTACTTCTCAAGTGTGAGAAAGTGGGGCCTGGCTTGACAGTGGCCACTCGGTCCCATGTGTGTGCATGGCCGCTGGTGCCCATAGACCCCTCACAGGGCCCCCCACACCTCCAGTTTGTGAAAGACTTAATGTCAGGAGTCCCAGGCTGGTGGCCTCCATCCAGGCATGACCACTGTGGGTCCCAGAGCTGTCCCTGCCTGGGGTGATGGTGAGCGCCATCAGCTTCTCCTTTCCACCCTGGGGCTCACAGTGCAGTGTGTGCCTGTGTGAGTCCCTGTGCCTTCAGCATCCCCACTCATTCCTGGCTTAGAGCAGCACGCACAGCCACGGGGGCAGACAGGCGTGGTGTGCATGGTTACCGGATGGACACACGGTCACATGTGGGCCACTTGCTTGTATGTACATGGTCACATGTGTGCGTGGCAGCAGTGCACACACATCACATGCACACTGTCCCCTGATGCACACAGCTGTAAAAGCACATGTGTGTTTGTGTGCACAGCCGCAGTGCATGAATACAGTCACGTGTACACAATCTCACTGCACACTTCAGCTGTAGGGCTCATGTGTCTCGTTGTGCACAGAGATATAATCCACACTTGGCCACATGGGTGCAATTTCATGGCTCACATGACAGTAACACGTGTGCACACTTGCAGCACATGTACAAGGTCACGTGTGTGGTCTTTGTTCACACAACTGTGATGTATGTGCATGGTCATGTGTACATGTATACACAGTCTCGTGTACACAGCTGTGATGCACATGTGTGACCAGCTGCCGTGTGCACACATGGTCATGCTTGCACAGTCTCATTGTATGCACAGTGGAGACACTGATGGTGTCATTGTAC